CACACACACACACACAAAACAATCCAATCTCAAGCTACTTTGCTCCTCTAGATGGGACCTGGGATGCATAAAGATGAGCGATGATGGAAACCGCAGGCCATCTTGGGTGTGACTGCACATCAAACCACATTATCTGCCTCCAGTGTCCATGACCTCCACCCTCTTCCCTGGGGCAGGGGGGCAGGAGGGCACTGGTACTCATTGGACAGGTGTGGTAGAGAATTGGGGAAGGATTTATGAGGCAGTGGAGGTGTGGAGACGAGATGGCTCAAGAGTTCAGGGAGAATCTATTCCAAATCTCTTAAGTCTGTAGTAATGAGTGCAGAATGAAGACTGACTTTGACTTTGACTCAAGTGACCGGACAGACAACCGTGGCTAGTTCTTTTTATGAGTCATGAAACCAATTAAGCCTGAGCAAACAAGGGTGAGACACTCTACTCCTCCACATCTGGAATGTCTTTGTGCTTATCATTGATCTATGTAAGGTCTATAATGTACCACACCACTCATACAACAAGGCAGTGTTTATAGTCTGCAGCTCTTATTACCTCATTTGAGTCTGTGCCGCAGGGTGGCCCACCATCTTTTCCAGGGGTCAGAGGTGTGCGTGTGGTGTTGGGTCCATCCAGCCCCTGCGGGTGCTTCCTATATTTCAGGAAAATATACTCGTCAATTCACAATCAATTTTATTTAAACTCAAATTGATGATTGAGGCAAAGTAAGAAGTAAAACAATATAATGCAAGCTAAAAAAACAACAACTAAACAGTTCATGTATATTAAACTGGAGGATTATACTTTATGTAACAAAAGGAAAGGCAATCCACTTTGTTACAAAGTGGTATTATGTATTAGCAATACAAAACAAACTGCCAATACCATAGCATTCAATTAAACAAAAAACAATATATATGAATATTTTTCCTTATTTTATACATGAAGCACAAAGTTGCATACCATATAGTGCCTGGCGGTATGACCACAGTATTTTTTAAGATTCTGACAGTTTCAGTGTATGTCACCATATTTGTTTATTTTTGCAAGACAGAGTCTTTATATAGGTTTATAGTGGCTTATATTTACTGTCAGGAGCACACACATAGAATATTTCATCTATACAGGGTTTTCTTGCCCACACAATAATACAATATATGAAGCAATTTATATTGTGCAAACATAGTAAAAACAGAACTGAAAAATAAAAAAAATTGCCAATAACTTTACTAAAAAAGTATAAACAACATAAACTGACAAAAGATACTTAAAGTATTTAGGTATTCAAAGGGATATTTCTCAAATGTTCTATTGCACAAGAAACAAATAATTTATAGCAGTTGTTTCAGCTATGCAACAGTATGGTGCTATACAAAAAATTAATATCATAGGGGAAAATTAAAACTTGTATACTAGTTAATTCAGTATATCGCCCAGCACTAAGTAATACCATACTGCAAGACAAATTCCTGTTGAGGATGTCAAACTCTTGAACTTTATCCTTGGATGGTAGTGATCTCACTTTGTACCAGCTGTGCACAACAGTTGTATCCAGCAGGTGGAGCCAGAGGAACCCAGGCAACAGTCAGTCTGACAAACTGCTCATTTTACAGCACAGTGTTTCATTTGATACCTCAGAACCCTGTCTGCACTTATTACTTCGTGGTTTAACATTTTATTTGAGGTAACCTTGTAAAGCGCACCTGTCAGCTCACCTCTAATGATTTAATGGACACATCTTGCCTTACTTCCCAAGTGTTTTAACCACACGAGTGTCTTTTACTGTAGCGGGTGATGCCCTGACTGTGCACATGTGGATCAAGTAAATGGAGCAATAAAGAGAGAGCAAAAAGTATTTTTAGGTTATTTGATGCAGTTCTAAGGGCCATAGTTTTGTGGGGCTTGGGATATTTTCTGCTGGCAATTTCTGCTGTCTGAGGCCACTCCGCAGCAGAGAAACTGACTAAGGCAAAATCGCAATAGTGCAATATCCAAATTGCAGAAGCTGCATTTTTTTTGATAAAGGTAAAATATGTGACAAACAGCATTATAATAAAATATGGTAATTCTGAAGAGATGCCCTGACTTACAAATCTTGTTCACCAGATTTAATAAAACTCTGATTATTCCCACTAATGACAAATCCTACTGAATTGCAATATCTGTCAAAATAATCATTTCACCATATTGTGCAGCCCTAAAACTGACTGATAACAAAGGGAGAGGGATTTTATGACATGAACCCAGGAGGCTACAGTAATGACCAAATGAGCCATGGAGACCCTAGTAACATGGCATTTAAGCAGTAAAAAGCTGCACTTCTAAAATACTATTCGGAAAAGTAACTTGAATTTTCTGCCTTAGTTTAGTATAAAGCTCATTTCAATGATGAGTCATTAGGTGAAAGCCTTAGATTATATTGCATCAATCAACACTCAACTGCATTTTAAAATGCTTTGAGCAGCCCTGTAGGAGATGACACATGAGGCAGCATGTCTCTTTTAAAGCAGGGCTAATGGGATTAATGGAGCTCTAGATTGTGTCATACAACAAGATCAACCACTGGGTTTAATACCTCAGGTTTCACGTGTTAATGGGGTAAGCTTGTTGACAAAGCTCCGGAAAAGACTGAAAAAACACAAACACACCCACTTTACATTGAGAGGATTTCAATAGACTAGTCAGGATTTATGGTATTGTTTTCTTGTTAATCCTGGTGATTGCTACATATAACTTATTTTATCACACATGTTTACATATTAACAATATTTTTAAATGCAGCTATTAGCTGACAATAAGTGTAGCTTCATTTATGTATCAGGATCTCTTTTGATTTGATTAAAGCATGCTACATATGTATATTATATAACAAACTAAGGCATGAAAATCCTGAATCATGTGTTTAAAACAACTGCTAAACTGCAATAAATTTATGAATTCTATTATGTGCTTTAAGACTGAGGTTTGTGAAAGATAAATGAAAGCATACCATACATTTGCTTTACAAAACTATTATGTGTATGTATCACTGCAAAACAAATCTTCCCCTGTAGCATGAAGAACACTAAAAACCATTTGTCCCAGGTGTGCTAAAGCTTTGACACTTACCTCTCCGGTGAATCGTCCTGCTGATGCACATTATTCTCCACCAGGCTCCGACTGAGGGCTGACTTCATGTTCGCCTCCATGCCTCTCTTGTCTTGGGCTGCCAGACCGTGGGACAGGCCGTCCAAAGCTGGGTTGAGAGATCTGGACATGTAGGTGTCTGCTGAATGAGGCCTCTGGTGGAAGGGTGAGGTAGGGCAGGGGGACAGGCGGTTGATTAACGGAGTGAGGAGGTCGGCGTGGCCGGCCTTGCTGGGCTTCACCAGACGGTCCACGTGGATGTTGAGGGTCTTCTGCTGGAAGGCGCAGGAGAAGGCACCCGGAGAGAGGTTCTGCAGCCAGGAGAGCAGCGACAAGTCCAGTTCATCACAGCCGTTCCCGCAAAGCAAGTCCACGCCGAGCAACACCTCGCCCTCTGTGATCTCCTCGCCAGTTGCTTTACTCTAGAAAACAGACACAGTGGAGTTGTGACCATCAACCTTGACTCAAATTGTTGAATTTTTATGATTTTGAAATCAGACATACCAAATTGTAAAACTGAATTTTTAGTGTGTCATATTACCTGACAGAACTCGACGCAGCACTCATAAAGAATCCCTTTGATGAGCAGCTGGAAGAGGCGGTTCCCACTCGCTCTGAAGCCCGCCTCGCTCAACTTCCTGTCCGCAGGGATGAATTCCGCCACCATGGCACAGGCTTCCTCGAAGCAGTGGACACGTGCCGTGCTTGGGTTCCAGTCTTTGAACTCTGCGTGGTGGGTGAGGCGCGGCAGGGTGAGGAGGAGACACAGCTTGCTGTAGTCCTCCTTGGTCGGGCAGTATTCCTCCAGACTGTGGAGGCACTTCACTGCCTCCTGCATGGTGAGCTCCAGCTGTAGTTGACAAAAAAATATCAAAGAGGACAAATGAATATATAGTCCTTGAGATGTTTTTTGTAGAACCCCACTGGTATGTGTGTGATAATGAAGGAGGATTAGCTGTTCAATAAGAATGTAGCATATCAGACAATGTTTAAAAGGCCTTAAGGATAGCAGCCAGTAAAACCTGCAGGCTGCTGTATCTTTGTTCATCTTATTTAAGTCAGACTATTTTTTAAATTGCCAATGCTAGCTTCCTAATTACATATTTACGTACATTGTGAGGGTCTTCGGCAGCGGACATGGCGTTATTTACGCACAGAGCTTCCAGAAACTTCTGCTTCAGAACGATGTAGCGGAACCTGGAGACACAAACCTCAGAATTAAGAAATATATTTTATAGGATATGAATTGATTAACCCTCATGTGAGCTGGGTGGTTGAATTATTTTGATAACCTTGATATTTAGTTAGATAGGACAACTGAGTTTAAAAATTAATTGCCTGACTGCTTAGTGGCTGGTAAGAAACAGAGGATCTCAGTCATATGACATGATCGCGCCACAGTACTGGGATCTGACCTGATTCAGCTCCTAAAGCTACCAGTCTCCTGCTTTACTGGCAAGTCCAACTCAGTCACCAGTGAAGGGAAACATCATTAATACTGTACTTAACAAATTATCAAAGCCACTCTGGTTGCCCCTCTAAAAGCCACTCATTAAATATGTCTTACAGATGACAGCTACGGGCAGTTAAAGGGTTGATGTAAAGCAGTCAGATTAAAAACTGTCCGATTAGAATAACCCCGACATCATTCCTCTCACCTTTTCTTGTCAAACTTCTCCATTCCTTCTAGAGGTTGAATGAACTGCATCACCTCCTCCCACTGACCGTCCAGAATGAGTTGCCTGTTGAAAGCAGCAAATGAACACTTTAACAGGCCTCTGAAAAGCTAGCAAGTCAAAAATAAGATAACACTGGGATCAGGCCTGTCAAAAGTAATGAAATACAATAGAAGGAAACATGCACCTGTGGAGACTGACACATGTACAAACCCAGATCCTAACAAACACATATGCCTGAATCCTTTCAGGATTTTATAGTCTCCTATTTGCCAACACGAGTCTGCTGCACAGTCATACCTGAGGAAGAGCATGTCATCAGAGTAGAGTCCATTAATGACGCCGCTCTCCTTCTCTAAGGCCAGCATGCTGATGTGCAGCTTCCTGGAGTTCAGAAAGTCCAGCATCACCTTGATCACCTCTGCCTCCTTGATGCTGATTGTCTCCTCTGCCGTCATGATTGCAAATCTGTGGTGGCAGCTTACAGCTGGCTGGAGTGCAGATAGGAGAGAAGAAAAACGTATAGTTATGATTAATAACCTGATTTCTTTCACCCAGAAACAAAGATTAAACTGATTTGTTGAACCAACAAGGATTTTGTCAATTGCTAGTGTGTGTATAACTGCCATAGAAATCTCATATCATTACTAACATAACATGTGTTGTTGCCTGGCCCAAAGTCTATCTTTTAAGGTTTTTCAGATGTATCTGCTGCCAGATTTTGGGTAAAAACATGAGCTTCTTAGATTGAAAAAACATCGCAGATAAGTTCTCTGTTGACCAGTAGTTACTAAACAGCATTATCTGTCACTGTGTGCACTGAGATGGGTGTGAAACGAGCAGAGAGGGTGACACAGACACCTTAAAAGATCAATGCTAATTATGTAAACACTGACAAATACACAGGCAGGCTTCTCTTCCACACTGGCACACACTGGTTTACACACTGAGGACCAGTTACAGTATATTCCTGCATAACTCCTGCATGCATGCCTCTAGTGTGTTCAGCTTTTCAGTAAAACACTGATCTGTTTTTAGATGTTATTTTATTTTATATTTAAATGTGATTCTGGTGTGCCTGTCCCTCTAAATAGTTAGTGAAAAGAGTGAGCTCTCTGGTAGTTTTTCAAACCTTTTGGCACAAACATATCCAAAGTGGTGCTGTAGCATCCTTATCCTAACAATCACATGGGGGCTTGCAGTGTCTATTATACGTTAAACATTTAAAAACTTACTGCACAATACTATTCTTATAGTGTGGATAGTTTCCCATGATCCTCGTAATAATTATCTTGCAGTTCACTTCGGTCTGGCTGTAAATGGTTGATCACAGCGACATCACATAGGGAGCTATTGTGTGATCCAGTGAGAGGCTGAGGGGGGGGGCAGTGATGCCTCGGGGTGTGTGTACTGGAGGTAGAGCAGCCGGTGACACCGCCCTGCCCCCCCCCCCCATAT